CACCACCTGATTTTAAGACTTACTGTAAAATTATAATAATCAAGACAGTGTGGTATTGGCGAAGGAATGGACACACAGATCAACAGAAGAGAATAAAGAGACTCACACAAATATGGCCAACTGAATTTTGGATAGGTACAAAAGCAATTCAATAGAAAAATGGTACTCTTTTCAATAAACAGTGTTGGGATTAGACTTCCATAGGCAAAAAAAATTTAACTTCAACCTAAACCGTGTTATATAAAAACTAACTCCAAATTAATCTAACATAAAACTATAGAAAATCTTAATGACCTAAGGTTAGGCAAGGAGTCCTTAGATGTGTCACCAAAAGCATGATGCATAAAAGATAAAACTGATAAGTTAGACCTCATCAAAATTTAAAAACTTTTGCTCTGTGAAAGATACTTTGTTCAGAGAACGAGAAGATAAGGATAAGACTGGAGAAAATATTTGCAAACCATTAACAAGAGCCTGTATCCAGAATATATAAAGAACTCTCAAAACTCAACACTTAAGAAAACAAACAACCCAATTAAAAAGTGGGCAAAAGACTTGAACAGACATTTAACCAAAGAGGACATACAGGTGGCAAATAAGCACATGAAAAGAGTTGTTCAATATCATTACCTGTTAGACAAATGCAAATGAAAACCACAATGAGATACCACTACACACCTGTTAGAGTGGATAAAAGAAAAATTACTGACAATTAGAAGTGCTGCTAAGGATTCAGAGCAACTGGAGACTCTCATATATAGTTGTGGGAGATGCAAAATGGTATATCCACTCTCAAATAAGGTTTGGCAGTTTTAAAAAAAATAAACCTTAACATGCACTTAGCATATGACCGAGCAATCCCATTCCTACTTATTTAATAAGAACTTACGTTCACACAAAAATCTATACACAAGTGTTTACTGCAGCTCTATTCACAATGGCCAAAAACAGGAACTAATCCAGTGACCCTTAACAGGTGAATAAACAAATGGTGGTATACCCATACAGTGAAATACTGTTCCTCAATTAAAAGGAATGAACTATTGATACATGCAACTGCATGGATAAATCTCAAAGGCATTATGCTCTGTGAAATCATGTAGACTGTATGAGTTCAGTTATACAGCATTCTGGAAAAGACAAAATGACAGTATAGGGAACAGATCAGTGGTTTGCCAGAGTAAGGGATGGGAGGGTCTGACCACAAAGGGAGAGTGTAAGGGAGTTGTTTTTTTTTTTTTGGCGGGGAGTGGTGATAGAAGTGTTCTGTTTGCTGATTGAAGTGGTGGTTACATAAATCTATTCACATGTTTAAATTCATAGAACTGTACACCAAATAAAGGTCAATTTTACTGTTTGTTAAATAGTTTAAAAAAAACTCACAAATTGAAATAACTACTTTGAAGGAAATGAAGATTCCATGAAGACAGAAGAGAGAAGACAGATACCTTGCCTTGATGGGGGGAGGGGCGCCAAGAATGGTTGAGGAAGTGATGCTTGAGCTGGGTACTAAAGAATGATTTAGAATTTACTTGGGCCAAAGGAAGGTCAATCAGATAGAAGAAACAGGCATGTGTCAAGGCCCTGGGGCAGGAGGAAGGATGGTTCATTTTCATCTGAAACTGACTAGAGCACAAGGAGTACCTTGGAGGGGTGGGAGAGATGGTGGTGGGGAGGGGAAGGGGTATGAAAGTCAAGAGTGGAGCAGTAAAAGAGTCTGATTATGCTAGACTAAGGGTTTGGTTTTTATTCTAAAAGGGATGGGTAGCAAAGGGTTTTAGGCAATTGTAATACAATTTGTAATACAAGATCCAGGTTTTGAAAAAAAATTAATTGGGCTGCCGAAAAGAGGGGGTTTTGGGGGCACACAGGAATCTTGGAAAGAACATCTAAAATAGGGTTTCTCAGTCTTGGTACTATTGACATTTTGGGCCAGATAATTTTCTGTAGTGGTGAGGGGGTGTGGGGGCTTGGCCTCTGCATTGCACGACGTTTAGCAGCATCCCGGGTCTCTACCTTCTAGATGCCAATAGCACTGACCTTTTCTCCTCCAGTTGTGACAGCCAAAAATGTCTCTAGACGTTGCCAAATGTTCACTGGGGTGCAAATCACCCCCGGGGGAGGACCACTGCTCTAAAACAACCAAATCCAGTGCTTCTGGCTTCATAGTAGAGTCATCTAGGGAGCTTAGAAAATACAAATGCTGGGCCTCACCTCAGACCAACTGAAGCAGAATGTTTGGAGGTGGGGTGGGGCCTGGCACCTAGCATCTGCATAATTTTGAAAGCTCCCCAGATAATTCTGCTCAGAGTGACGTTTGAGCACCACCAGCCTAGTCCACCCTTTCCATCTGTATCTCGGAACACTGAAGCCCAGACTACAGAAATGACCCACTGAACTGGAGGCAGAGTAGCTCCAGAATCCTATTCCTGACTCCTAGACCAGTGCTCATTCCAGGGCCTCTTAGCATGTGCACAGAACATGCCCTGGGCAAACTGTGAAAGCCCAGCCTCCTTGAGTTACCGGCTCTGGCCCTCTGAACATCCCAGTGTTAAGGCTGCCATCCCCCCTTCCTGCAGAACCCAAGCCCTCCCTTCCTGCCACCCCTGGAACTTCTGCCAGTTCCTTCTTCTACTCCTGCTGCTAGATTCATGGTGACCAAAGTGTCCAAATGGGCTCAACAGCAAGGGTTCAGTGCAAATCGAAAAAATTTACTGACCACCTACGCAGTTCTACTCATGAGTTCCAGGTAATATAGAAGCCCGGGCCCTGAGGAGTTCAAAGTCCAGTGGGGAGTAAACAGGTATTTTCCATAAAATGCTGCAGGCTGCAAGGCACCACTGGGCGAGAGGCACTTTGCCTGCTGGGAAGCTGCCTGAAGCCCCAGCAAAAGGAAGCCCCAGGGAGGGGTGTGCAGCAACTGCTAGCAGCTTGGAGTGGCTGGGGACAAATGGCTCTCTGAGGTAAGCACAGTCTGGAAAGGGCTTCACCTTCCTGACCGTCCCAGAGGTGAAGTGACTTGCTCGAGGTTGTGCAACTGGTAACCAGCCGGCAGAGTTGGGCTTCCCATCAAAGTCTAGGTGGCTCAAAGCTCATGCGCTATCCTGTGTCTCTAGGCAGGCCCAGGCAAGGAAGGCAGGGTGGGGTGGGGTGAAGCTGTGGGCTAGCCTGGGAACTTAATGGAATGGTGGAACATCTCTGTGAGGAAAGTGTTAAAACAATGGACGTAAGAAGGAGGGTTTAGGCATCTCACTGCCAGGCAATGGGAGCCCCCAGGGCCGTGCTAGCCCTGGGGCTGGACTCTCAGTCCTGGCAGGAGGCGGTGGGCTCCCGGAGCTGTACCCCAGAAGCTCCTGACACTGTGCAGAGCCGCATTTACAGCAGACCTCAGCTGCCCTCTCTGGAAGCCTGTGCCTGGTTTGGAGGCTACTGGCAGCTGAGCCATGCCCACTAAGCACTATGATAGGGGCTTGAGGATACTGAGAGAAAGAAGGGTCTGGCTTTTACTGGATATCAACAGGCCCCAGTGATCTAGTTTTCAGACATATCTGTGACAACAATCAGGTGTTTTTCAGTTGGGCAGCAGGTCCCCATCACCTCACCCTGACTCACCTTGCTCTTCCCCAGGCTCTGGGCCAGTGCCCTCTCCCCCTTTCCAGGCCTCGGGGCCTGCCTCGTCCAGAGCTGGGTCTGGGGGTCACAGAGTGATCGGATCAAAGCTGTGAGGTGACCATTTCATGGACCTCTATGCTGAAGAATCCTTTTGCAAAGTGAATATTCCCAGAATTTGTTTCATAGTTTCATCAGGCCCCAAGAATGGTTTAGTTTACACACAATGGCTGGGCATATACAAGGGTTCAGCTGGACGTGAGACTACGCACTTTGCTGGCCAATTTTAGGCAGAATTATCATCCCTATTTTAGAGGCTTTGGTCAGTGTCTTGAAAAGCCACACAGCTAGAAAATGGCACAGCCAAGATTTGGATCCAAAACGGCCCAACTTCGAGTCCTGGACCACTGATTCTCAGACCTTGGTGACTGAGTCACGAGCAGGAAATTTACAAGGAATGCCGATTCCCGGCCCCACCCCAGAGCATCTGATTCACTGGGCCTGGGTCCAGGCTGAGGAATCTGCATTCCAGAAGCACTACACCTGAATCTGAACCAGGTAACTCTCCAGCAGCACTTGGCCCTTCCTCCCAATTTCTAATCCAGGAACCCTGCCGGTGTCCCAGGGTCTCGTGTAGCAGAGGGTGGGGGGAAGGGTGGGGTCCGATCCGAAGAATTTGGGTTCTTTTGCAAATGACCTGAAAGCGGGGAGGAGGCACAACATCGCAGGGCTCCGCAATGGCAGGGTCAGGAGGGGTCTCTGGGAAAGGAGTGCCTGGAGGGCGTTGGTGACGAGGCCTGGCCCTCCAGGGGCCAGTGGCCCAGCGCCCCACACCCTCACCTGCCGCGAGGTGCGCCCAAACTGGCCGGTGAATACATCCATTGCGCTTCCCTAATTCCGAGGGCTTTCACTTTCCCCCTTCACAAAACCTAACACCCCCAAGCCAAAAATACCTGCTTAGACCCTCCTCTCAAGGGGACCGTCTCCGTGCGAGCTGGGAGAGCCCGGAAGTCGGGCCTGGGACTGCGAACCTGGCTGGCTCATCGCCTCCCGCTCGGAAGAGGCCGTGCAGGTGAAGGGGCGGCCTTTCCGGGCCCGGCGCGGGCGAGGAACCCTAGGACTGAGCGCAGGAGGTGGGGGAGGGCCGTGCACGCCTCCCGTTGGGCTTCCGGCCCGGGTCGTGGCTCGTAACCTTTCCCGCCACTACCGGGCACCTGCCGAGCACGTCCGGGCGGGGGCAGGCCGGCTCTGGCCCTCCTCGGCCCGGCGGGACGCTGCTCCCCGGTCCGCCGCGGCGCGGATGCCGGGTCAGCGAAGGGTTAAGGAGGCCGTCTCCCTCACCCTTGGAAAGTCCCTGAAATGACGTTGCAACCCGACAATTAAAAGAAGAGTTTAATTATAGAGACAGGTTCTGGGAGCTGGAACTAACCCGGTCGGTCGGTGGGGCCGGTAAACAACTCCGGAGCGAGCGGGCCAGGCTGGATGCCGCGGAGCCCGGGCCCCTGGGAGCGGGGGAGGGGAGCGGCCTCCGGGAGTTGGGAAACGGAGGAAATTCGAGGAATCGGCGTTCTCTTTGCGGAGGGAGGCGGGGGGAAGACTCTTTAGCCAGCCTGTGGCGCCCGGGCCGCGTCAAGGTGCTCCTGGCCGGTCCCACGACCGTTGGGGGAAAGCTGCGCCGCCCGGAGAGGGGGACATCGGGTGCGGGTCGGGACGCGCCCTGGGCCCCGCCCGCTCCGGACCCTTTCCCCCTCGCTTTCCACCCCCGCTTCTCCGCCCCTCTCTCGTCCCCCCCAGCAGAGCTTCGCGAACCCTCCAGAGTTAAAGACCAACGGGCCTTTTTTTTTTTTTTTTTTGCTTGGGGAGTGGGGGAATCAAAAAACCGAAATAGCTTCACATCGGGACGCAGACAAACCTTGTGGTTTTAACGCGCACCCTACTCTGTCCTGAAATCTGGAACTCATTACCTCATCACTAAGAAACTGCACAAAACCGCTCCCCCAACCCCTCCTTCTCGAAGCGGGGAAGGGAGTGAGCAAACTGCCCTTTAAGAAAGAAACCTACATTTGAATGATTTAAATTAAGGTGGATGGAAGTTATTTCTCCTTCTGGCGCTTGCCAGATTTCAAGAAAAGCTGAAAAATGGGAACAGGGAGAGGGAAGCAACAGGCAGCTGGACAGCAAAAGAAGAAAAGCAAGGGGCAGCAGCCGGGTTAAAAATGGGGGCCATCAATTTAAGCCAGAGGGGACAAATTAAAGCAGACGGACTGGGGATCACATAGGTTTGTGGCTGCAGCCAAAGCTGTGTGTTTCGCGAAGGTGAAAAACAACAGGTTCCTAAAAACGGTTGTGATTTGGAAGGTTTCCGGGTTTGCCCGGCCAAATTTAATGACAAATAAATAAGAAATGCAGTAAAAATATGTGTGTGTGGGGGGGGTGGGGGTGGTGAGAGTGCGACTCCAGCGCTCTGCTGGGCCCGCCCCTACCTCTTCAAAGAAACGTGCTCATAATGGGGTGACCTAATTACATCGCAATGGAACCCGCTCTTAGCCACTCAGTGCACAGGGTTTCATAACAGACCCGGCGGCCTCGAATGCTGGGAAGAAACGTGCGAGGGCCGAGGAGGCGGCCGGGCACGCGGGGAAACGGGAAAGAAACGCAGCGCCGCGGTTTCCACCTCGGTCTTGACTCCAGCACTCCGGCGGAGACCGAGGGGGCGGTGGGGGACACGTTAACAGTTTTTTATTTGGGTGGGTGGAGGGGCATCCGAACCTAACAGTAAATAAATATATTCTTTACAGTTTTCAAAAGAGTGATAATTCAGGGCCTTTCGGTTTCGAGGATCCCACACCCCCCTCCCCCCATCCCGCCAAAACAGCGCAGTGTGACAAGCCATATGTTCCGTTCCCGTGCGGGCGGGGGAGAAGCAACAGTAAGTTGAAGTGTTGCCTCCCCCCATCCCTTTACCTACATTCTTAGCAAAGTAACTTTTTTTCATTGTTCTGGCATCTAGGGGGTGTGCGTGTGTGTGTGTTGGTGGGGGAAGTTTCGGCGCGGCCCATGGTTCGGAGCGCGCGGGGAAAGTGCGTTGCTGGGTGTTTTTTTCGGGGGGGGGTGGGGATTAGGGGCGTTCATGAGGATTTAGGTTTTCTTTATAAAAATATTTAAAGATTGATGCGTGAAATAAATACCACAACGAGGCCTGTTAAAACAACCCGGCAACTATACTCCAGTAAAAATTAAACAAACACCCAAACAATCCGCCCGGACGGTGGTCTTCTTCGCGACGCTCTCCCACCCCTGCTCCTGCCCACACTCGGAGAGTGTCCGCTGCAAAGCGAGCGCGAGTGGAGACGCGTGCGGCGCGCTAAACCGCTTGGTGCTCGCCCGCGCCAGCCCGGGTCCTCCTTGGGGTGGGGGGGAAGTCTCCCTAATCCTCCTCTCCCAACCCCCACCTCCGCCCCTGAAAAAAACAAAACCCTTGGCTTGAACGCTTTGTGCGCCTCTTATTTCCAATCTCCTCTCCCCTTGGGGTTTGCCGAGGGGAGCCGAGTGCGGAAAAGAACTCGGGAAAAGAGTTAAGTTGTGCGGCAACTTGGAGAAGTTTCCAGGGAGATCAGCTCAAGATGGGAACTGCAGCCCCGGCGCTAAGGACGGGCTTCTGCTCCCGCTTGTAAAAAGAGAAAGTCGAGCCCGCCTTTCTGCCCGACAAAAAAACAACAACACAACAACCAGAACCCCGAAGAGGGTGGAATGAGTGATGTCACAGAGCCGCGCTCGCAGGCTGACAAAAGGGGGGCGCCCCTCCCCCCCTGCGGGGCGCGCGGCCCCAGAGAAGGGCGCCTGCAGCGAGGGGTAGCCAAGCGAGCGGACTCGAAACTTTTCCTCTTTAAGAAAAAAAAAGTTGTGCGCGGCTCTCAGTGGGTTTTTTTTTTAATTCGCCTTCTTTCCTCGTCTCCCCTCCCCCTTCTTCCTTTCGAAAGTTTTTTTTTTTTTTTTTCCCAGAGTTTGACCGCAGGGCTGATTCAACTTCAGTGTCAATCAACTTTTTTTCCTCCTCTTCCTCATTTAAATAAGTTTAAAGCTCCTCCTCCCCCTCCGGCCCACCAAATCTGAAACTTATATAAATTGGGCTTCGCGCGCCGCAGCCCGGGAGAGTCAGAAAGGCGAGGGGCGCCGGGAGCAGGCGTGTGGGACTCCAGACCGGAGAGCCGGAGGCTGCGCCTTCCCCGCACCGGGACCTTCACGGCACACCAGATCCTTGTCCCTGCCCCGTGCGAGCGCCCAGGATGACCACCACCCTCGTGTCTGCCACCATCTTCGACTTGAGCGAAGTTTTATGCAAGGTAAAGTGGGGCGGAGCGTTTGCTTTTGAAAGTCTTTTTCTTTTTTCTTTTGTCTTCAAAAAGAATCCCCGAAAGTTTAGGTCTGGGAACGCAAGGGGGAGAGGAGGAGAGGCGAGATGGTTGTTTATTCCGCCCCATTTTCCCCCCTCAGTTTGAAGGAATTTGACTCTCTGCTCCCCACCCTTTGAGTTTCAACAGTTCCTGGCGGGGATTACATGGGAATCTGGAGACCAGAGTTTTGGGGGGCGAAGTTTGCGTGGGGCTGCCTGGGGGGCGCGGGGCATTGACCAGGCAGGATTGGGGCAATTTTTCGGTGATTCTTTCGTCCATAATGTGCTGCTCTTGAGCCGGGTGTCGCGAGTCTGCTCGGTTTCCCTGTGTGCGCTCTGGGTGTCGCCGCTGCCGGGAGGGGTTCGAGTCTCTCCAGCCCCATTGCCGGACTGTGGGTCGAGAGGTGGGGGTCCCTTGGGGAAGTGAATCTCGGGATGACGTTTTGCTGGTAGATTTCCTCTTCTGTTCTGGAGAGGCTGGGAATCTGCGAGAAAAGGCCAAGAGTTGTGGTTCAAAGGATGTTGCCAAGCGAGTTTGCAATGGGACTTCAGTTCGTCCCAGCTCAGCCAGGCTTCCTCTGTTATAGCCGACCGTGCTGCAAACTTTGGGGTGAGAGTGGGACTCGGGTTCACCCGCTTACCTGTTTTCCGAGGGACCGCGACTCCGATATGGAGGGGATGGGGGGACACGACTACAAAATGCCGGTCTGAGCTCAAGAGTCTCGGCGAGGAAGGATTTAATGAGGCCCTCAAGCCGTGTAGTTTGCCAGCTGGTGTGGAAAAAAGCAAGTTTTAAATCCGGAATATTCCAGGAGTGCCGTTTAAGCGTATGTAACAGAAGCCTGTGGACGTTCAAAGTTTTTCGCCCCCTCTCCCCAATTTGAAAGAGAGAAGCTGTTAGGCTACTTTTAATTGCTGAAGTGTTTTGCCTTCTTTTAAACACGTCGGGTCATGTTGCTCTCTTTTCCCAGCTTGCTTCTCCAGTCCGTGCAGCTGCCAGGGCCCCAGGGCTGCAGGGTTGGGGTGCAGGGATACCCTGGAGCTGAAGAGCAACATCAAAAAAGTTTGAATTTCAGCTTCCTTCCCTACCTGCGCATTCCCAAACTTCAGTTGCCCTGGCGGCTGCCTGAACTCTCCCGGCACGTCTTCCTTCTCTTCCTGGCTCTCCCGCTCTTTGATCTATTTCTCTTTCTCTGGCTCCCTCCCCCCGCAGGACTTTTTAAATGAACCTCATTGTTGGGAACAGGCTCTCTACTTGGTTCCTGTAATCCGCTCTGTGGGGTGGTTGCTGTTGCAGATTCCAGATCCCCCGCAGCTGATCCTAAGGGACCAACTTGAGAAATCACACAATGACACCCACATGGGCTGGGAGCCAACTCCCAGGTCCCCTGCTCACACCCTTTCCAAATCTTGGGTACAGTTTGGGCAGGTGAATAGGGTCCCGTTGGAACAGAGACCTGCCTTTGGTGCCTCTGCCCCCCTCCCCCAAATCCATTATTGACTGGGAGGAGGCTGGGGGGATTTGGTGCTTTCCTTTTCCTTCCCACCTGCAGCTTTGCGTTAAAGATTAAACACTGGCGCTCTTATCCAAGCGTGCTCTTGCAGCCCGGAGACTAACTGCAAAGGCATCTTCCCAGTGGAGGGGGTGGGGTGGGCGGTGACTGGTGGGAGAGATCATTGTAGAAGGCACCTCTTCTGGGAGCACGAGGCAATGAGTTTTGTATTCGGGAATCACATCCCCGCTCCCTGCCAACCCCCCCCCCCCCACCAATCCGGGATTTCTCTTTCTGCCCCTCCCTCTCCCCTCCCATCAGCAAGGTAAAAGCAAAGGCAGTCTGGAAATCTGTTGCCAAAGGAATGGAATGCTTCTGAAGGAGGAAGTTGAGAGTCTCAGGCCAGGTTTGGGGGGAGGGCGGCAGCTAATTAGGCAGGGACTGATTAAAAGGAGACCTAGCTCCTAGTCTCCTGAGTGTAGGAAAGGAGAGTTTGTGAGTTGTGTGAGATATTTTCAGCACAGGGATCTATTTGGGAGGTGAAGAAGTTGGATTTCATGGATGAAAGTGGTAGCTTTGGGGACAGGATATGAGGGTGCATTCCAGGGATCGGCGTGGAGTAGGTGCATGTGTAAAACAATTTTTCACACAGGCCAGGAATTTTGTGGCTTCTTATGCCTGGGGCCAGAGTAAACCCTCTCGGCTGGTTGAATGGGAGAAAGAGGGTGAGGGGTTTGCCAGGGCAGAGGTGGGGATGGTGGGTTCCTTCGAGACGGAGTATTTCTGATCGTGGAGGGGGCTGCCCTTAGTGGGTACCCTTCTGGGCCTGGCGGATGGCCTTTGTCAACTAACCGCCGTCTCTCTTGTCTCTCTCTCCTCCAGGGTAACAAGATGCTCAACTACAGTCCTCCCGGTGCCGGGGGCTGCCTGCTGGACAGGAAGGCGGTGGGCACCCCTGCCGGTGGGGGCTTCCCCCGAAGGCACTCGGTCACCCTGCCCAGCTCCAAGTTCCACCAGAACCAGCTCCTCAGCAGCCTCAAGGGCGAGCCAGCTCCAGCTCTGAGCTCTCGGGACAGCCGCTTCCGAGACCGCTCCTTCTCAGAAGGGGGCGAGCGGCTGCTGCCCACCCAGAAGCAGCCGGGGAGCGGCCAGGTCAACTCCAGCCGCTATAAGACGGAGCTGTGCCGTCCCTTCGAGGAGAACGGAGCCTGTAAGTACGGCGACAAGTGCCAGTTCGCGCACGGCATCCACGAGCTCCGAAGCCTGACCCGCCACCCCAAGTACAAGACGGAGCTGTGCCGTACCTTCCACACCATCGGCTTCTGCCCGTATGGGCCCCGCTGCCACTTCATCCACAACGCTGAGGAGCGCCGTGCCCTGGCCGGGGCCCGGGACCTCTCTGCTGACCGTCCCCGCCTCCAGCATAGCTTTAGCTTTGCTGGGTTTCCCAGTGCCGCTGCCACCGCCGCTGCCACGGGGCTGCTGGACAGCCCCACGTCCATCACCCCACCCCCCATCCTGAGCGCCGATGACCTCCTGGGCTCGCCCACCCTGCCCGATGGCACCAATAACCCCTTCGCCTTCTCCAGTCAGGAGCTGGCGAGCCTCTTTGCCCCTAGCATGGGGCTGCCCGGGGGTGGCTCCCCAACCACCTTCCTCTTTCGGCCCATGTCTGAGTCCCCTCACATGTTTGACTCTCCCCCCAGCCCTCAGGATTCTCTCTCGGACCAGGAGGGCTACCTGAGCAGCTCCAGCAGCAGCCACAGTGGCTCAGACTCCCCCACTTTGGACAACTCAAGACGCCTGCCCATTTTCAGCAGACTTTCCATCTCAGATGACTAAACCAGGGTAGAGAGGGCCGCCCCCCCACCTATCCACCCCCCGCCCCGACCCCGCACCCACATCCCCTACCCTTCCCTCCCTACCCATCGATTCCTGACAAACCCCTACATTAACAAGGTTAAGCTCAACCCCTTTCCCCCAGGACCTTGGAATACCCCCTCCCTCCCCCCTCTTTAAATGCCCCTCCCCCCAACATAAGGACAAGTCAATTTGTCAATAGCTTCTTCTGGCTAGAACCCCCCCCACCTCAATTTTATAGCCCACTTACCATGCATAACAGACAAGTCCCATATTTGTCAGTAGATGCGTTTTTTTTCCAGCTTAAGCCTTAAGTGCCAAATCACAAAAGAAAAAGCAGTAACGGTTTACAGAAGCAACTTAGTGCCTTGTGATCTAACTTTGTCACTGTGACTACATTACCTCTTCAGCGCCAGAGGGCACCCGTGGGCCTCCCTGAGCCTCTGCCCAGGGGGAGGGGGAGGGGGAGGGGGGACTTAGAAGAACCAGCAGCTCCCTCCACTGGCAACACAACTGCACCTTTCCTGATTCCAGTCTCCCACACACTTCCTTCTCCCCTCTCCCCAGCAACCCCCGCCCCCCGCCCCCGCCTTGGGAGAGTTGTTGCCAGACTTGGGTTTTTGGGGAAACCTAGCTTGACATTCAAAACCTTTTTCTTCCCGACCTGAACCTCTGTTGACTAATCTTGCCTGGGTTCGTGTAGGTCTGCAGGAAGGAAGACTGCAAAAGCGGATGAAGATTGTGACATAAGTGGGACTTTGTGATTTAATTTTTTTTCTTTTGTTTTAAGTGGGGAGGAAGGGGAAGCTAGATGGACTATGAGAGACTTGATTTTGGTGCTAAAGTTCCCCAGTTCGTATGTGACATCTTAAAAAAAAAACAACAAAAAAATGAGAGAAAAGCTTAAAAACATGTAAGGGGTGAGCAGTTAATGGTATTCATTCCACATACAATATCTGTGTAAAACGATTTCCTGTAGAAGTAGCTTTAATGGTTTTTGCTCTAGAATACCGTAGGTCTATCCTTAGAGCACTCACGCCATGCTTTTTTCCCTGGGTTTTAAACTTCATATAACTTCAGAAATTGGAGAGCAAAAATTTTGCTTGTCACTGCACATCAATATAAAAAAGCTTATTTAACTTATCAAAACGTATTTATTGCCAAACTATGCTTTTTTTTGTTAATTTTGTTCATATTTATCGGGATGACAAATCCATAGAATATATTCTTTTATGTTAAATTATGATCTTCATATTAATCTTAAAATTTTGTGACGTGTCTTTTTCCTTTTTTTCCACAGTTTTAATATATTATTCTTCAACGACATTTTTTGTAACTTTACACTTTTTTTGGTTATTTTATTTTAAAAAAATGAAAAATTAATTTAAAAAAATGCAAAAAACTGTTGGATTATTTATTTTAGAAATTTCCCCCCTTTGTGTTGGACTGCAAATTGAGTTTCTTTCTCTTTTGGCCTTTCACAACTAGGACTGAGAATGTATGTAAAAGTTCTGTGACAGTACAGAAGGAAAACAACTTTTAATGTATAGCTTCTAAAAGGGAAAAAAAAAAAAGAAACCCTTTGACTTCACGTGCCCATCTCTAGACATTCCGATTGCAGATTTGACGTTCTGGATTCCAGGTTTTGGAGTTTTCCAATGTTAATGCAAACAGAACTGGCACACACACATTAAGATGAATGTAATTATTATTCCTCTTGCTGGTCACTACCGTCGCTTTCTATTTCTCTTTCTTTGTGTGAATTTATTTAAAAGAAAAAAAAACTTTTTGTAACGACTATTTGCAGTTTAAAAATCAATAAACCCATTTTTTCAAGAAATTGATGGTGAAACTGGTTTTGCTTGGTTTGTGGTTTTAGTCTGCCTGTAGGCTTGTCCTTTGTAGACGATGTAGGTGCTGGGAGGAGGAGGGAGGGCATTGGTTGATTTCTCATCCTTAACAGCTAAACCAATGGCTGGTTCCTTTGGCTGAGGCTGGAAGTCGGCTGAGCTTTGGGGGAGGGGTGGGTAGAGGTTTATTGCAAAGCAGCCTGTATTTGTATTATCTGCCCTGTTGTTGGTTGTTGACAAGGGTCCAGCCTTACCTGCCCTTGCAGCCTCGGAGGTTCTTCAGAGTGAGGCACGGGGGCTTACTGTCTTCTCTGCCTAGCCTGTGGTCTTAATTCCTTTGGGTAACGTTTAGGGTGCTGAAATGGTGAAGAGGGGGATGTGGCACGTGGCACTCCAGCAAACTTGGATTTGAGTGTGTTCTTTTATTTGGGTGCTTCCAGGCTTTTTTTTTTTTTTTGGCCGCGCCACCTGGCATGTGGGATCTTACTTCCCTGACCAGGGATCAAACCCGCTCCCCCTGCACTGGAAGTGTGGAGTCTTAACCACTGGACTGCCGGGGAAGTCCCGCCAGGCTTGTTTTTTTTTTTTTTTTTTTCCCACAGGAAATTGACCTGAAGCCCTAGCCTCGTAACACCTATCTGGGGTGGGTATGATGAACCATTGCAGGCTCAGAGAGGAGCTTCCAGGGTGGTGGGGGGCTCAGTCACAGGGGACCGGGAGCAGAGGTGGTTTCACTTGGACCCAACATGCGCTTCTGTATTTGGAGAGCTGTTAAAAGGAAGGGGTATGAAAATGGCCAGCGTAACAGGAAGTCATCTGTTCTTGCCGCCTTAGTCTTCGTTGTACCCCTGATGCCATGCAGGATGGGTAGGCTGTCATCTTGGGAAGGGTGAGGTCTACTTGGCTAGAGGAACCCCAGCCGATCGATGTCAGATGCCCACTTAGAGGGGATGCCTGCCAGAGAGAGGTTGGATCCTTCTGAAAATCCTGAGTCTGGTTCTTGGGAAGATTTCTTTCCGAGGAGGCAGAGATGGATATCGTTATCTGAGGCCTAGCTGCCTTCGGTTCCTTGCGCTCAGTAAGTTTTGGGCAGTAAGCTGAATTTCCACTCGAATTCCACTCGGCCTCTCCCGAGGCAGGCAGGTCTGCAGCAGACATCAGCTGGGCCAGGGCTATCCTTGAGGTTGGAGAAGACCTACCTTAGGCACCCTGTCGACTCTTCCTTCCCTGGCCAGCAGGTGCCTGCTGGGGGGCAGGGCGGTGAGGTAGAAAAAAGGGACTATTACCTCTTTCAGGGCAGGGGCTGGTGGTGGAAGGAGGGGGAAAAGCAGTGCTTCCTGGGTCTGGAGGAAACCTAGGCCTCCTGTCTCTTGAGGAGGGAATGAGTGTGTGTATTTGCGGTGGGTGGTGATGGTGGTGGTGGGGACATGTGAGCTTCCTCTCTGACTAAAAGCAAAAAGACATAGAATAGCGCACCTTGAGCTTGTTTTCCTTAGGAGTGGTTGGGCATATGGCAGATATCTTTCTAATTCCCCAGCTCATGGAGACACCGGTTGGGTTCAGAGAGGGCTGAGCATATCCACTGACCAGCCCAGAATTCCCTCCATTGGAGTCAGTCCCCTGAGTGATAACAAAGATGCAAGCATTGATTCCCAGAGACCCTGGAGTGCAGACACTGGCTGAAGAGGCGAGGTGAGGTTCCCTATGTCCTGGGGAAGCTTTCTGTCCCCAGGACTTGACCCTTCAGCCCACCTAAGTGTCTCCATGGGAAACTCACACGGGCTGAGATTTAGGCCACCCAAGCCCATGCATGGTCACCACAAGAACCTGATTTTTTACCATATAGATCTTAAAGGTAGAAGAGATACCAGGGTCCAAAGCTACTTGGGAAATGAAGTAGCAGAATCTTTTTGGGCCCATGCTTTTTCCAGGATATTAGGTGATGAAAGGCCTCAGCGGCAGCAGCCCTAGTCCTGTGCTCTAGGCTGGCAGGGAATCCAGGGAGATGTGAGCCCAGAGCTGGCGGGGGACCTCCATGAGTGCCTCTAGAGCCGTGGGAGATAGGAGCCATGCAGAGAGAGCTGGAAGTAAGGCCTCCACAGAGGGAAGTGGAGCAGGAAAGGCCAGGCCTGCCTTTGTCAGCCAGCTTCCTGGGGCGTGAGGCCTACTTCCCCACCTCTTGCTCTGGACCTTGGGGCATCTCTCTTTGGGGGCCCTTTACAAGGTCTGTCCTGGCTGGGCAGGGCCTCCATGGCTGTTGGTCCTGCAGCTCATGGTCTGGCTTTTGGTTAAATTTCTTCCCTTGGAGCAGCTCAAAGACATGAACTCTTTTGGCCACTGAGCAATGATTTACCTTTTTAGGTCTGGAAGCCTCGTTTTCGGGAGGAAGGTTGGGAGCCTGCTGTGCCCCAGTGTCACTCTGGCGAAAGGAGGACATTTGGGAGAATGTGGAGGCAGACACGAGATGGGTTTTGCAGCCAACTGGATCACAAGGCACCAGTTACTGGGCAGACGGGGTCACGGCCTGAGGAAGTTTCTATGGCATGGAGGTCGGAGCCCTTCAACTTGGGTTCAAATCCCAGCTCTGCTAATGCCAGCTTGCGCCTTGGGCAAGTGACTCAATCTCGGATTTTCCATCTGTATCTTGAGGGGTGACTGTGAAGATCAAGTGAACCACAGCAATGATGGTTCTTCATCAGTGCAGGTAGTCTGAGAACTTTATGTGTGTTAACTACTTAAATGCTCAAAGTGGCCCCTCAGAGGAAGTTCTGTGCTACCACCATTTTGCAGATGGAGAAATTGGGGCGTAGAGAAGTTCACTCATTCGTCGCACAGTTAGAAGTGTCAGGATTTGAACCCAGGCAGGCCTGCTCCATGACTGCATTTCCCTACCCTGTCATAGGCTGGCACGCTGAATGCATCTGGCGTGGTCCTTAGCACATAGTAACTGCAAATCGACCAGTGTTAGTTCCTGTCTCCCTTGGCCTTTGTGGAGATTTTGCAGGGGCCTGAGAGAGGACCAGTTGGATTAGATGACTCTGCACACACCCCCTCCACTGGGTGTCATGATCTCATGTCCCACAAGGCCCTGGATTGGTGCGTTTGGAGGATGGTGCCCAGGAGGAGGGCAGGCCACCCCCTTGGACTTTCTCCTTCTTTGCCTGTCATGGGGTGGCTTCTGTTAATGATTGACAGGGCAAAGGGTGCCCCAGGGCCACCTTGGGATTTGGCCCTGTGCCCTTCTTCCCCCAGGGTCTCCCTCCCTGCACGTAGCCAACCATTTAATCACATCTGGCTGGACTGACCTAAACACTACCTGAGTTCAGTGGGCAGGGGCAGGGGCAGGGGCAGGGGAGACCAGCCAGGCTCTGCACCACCCCCTTGCTGCCCTGCAGATGGCCCTCCTCAGGCCGGCCTCTAGCAGCAAACAGGGATTCAGAGAGTTGGGAAGCAGGGTGAAATCTTGGCTTTTTCTTGAGGTCAGGTCAGCACTGGGGGGGTCCTGTGGTGACCCACCTCTTTGTGGGTAAAGCTTGGCCTACAGAGAAACCTTCTGGCCCAAGGGCTTACGATGCTTTCTGCAGGAGCCCCAAAGGGTTACATCTGACTTACCACTGTGGGAAATTAGTCTCTGCGGAGCTAGGGCAGGGGCTGCCCACATGCTGGGCCAGGTTCCCTCCTCCTGCCCACGAGAGCCAGCTGCTGCTTGGGGGCCAAGGATGCCTCCACCACGCTGAGGCTGTTTGCAGTTGTTTCGACATATTGGCAAAGGCTGGGTCTCAAGGTACAGGGCTGTGAGTGACGACGGTACCTGCGCTATCAGGGGGACAGTGAAAAATAAATATTGGCAATGGCCAAACCTGAGGCAATTTTCTCACAACCAGAAGCCAGTCAGGTAGCTGCCCCTGACTCCCAGTGATGCCTCCGGGAGAAGGAGCTCATGACCACATGGAACAGAGTTCCTTTCTGCCCACCCCAGCACTGCAGGAGGAAGGGAGGCTCTGTTGCCCAGGTAACGAGTTGGTTTTGGAGTCAGGAACCTGGATTCAAGTTCCTGCTCAGAGTCAATTGCACTCCGAGACCTCAGGCTAAAAACTTAGTGAGCAGCTCAGGGCCCCAGTTTTCTCAGTTGCAAAATGGGATTATGATGATGATAATGATGATGATGGTGGTGATGATGAAGGTGAAGACAAACACCTAGTTCAATGGATAAACAAGCTGTAGCACAGTCACACGATGGAATACTGTGCAGCTGTGTAAAAGGATACATGACATATATACACAACAACATGGGCGAACTGCAAAAACAGAAAGTTGAGTGAAAGAAGCCTGCCAGAAAAGAGCACATTTTACATGAGTTCATGTATATGAAGTTCATAAGCAGGCAAAACTGACCTGTATCGATAGAGACTTGATTAGAAGGTAGAGTATATACACATAAAAAGTTCATTGAGCTGCATGTTGAAGATTTATGCACTTTACCGCATGTAAGCTACACCTCAAGAATAGAAACAGAGCTGCTATGAGTGTTAAAAAATACATATAAGAAGAAAAGATACATATAAGGAAAAAAAAAAGAAATTCAGTACCTGGCCCGTTATAGGTACTTAATACATCGTGGCTGGTTTTTGTATAACAACAACCTGAAGATGGTGGTGCTGATCTCGTTACCTTTTTATAGAAGGAGAGCATTGGCCCAGAGCAGGTGAGTAACTTGCCCAGGTGAAGTGGGACTTGAATCCCAGCAGATCAGTTCTCAAGCCTACACAGCTGCCAATGACCTGACGCTGCCCCTTGGTACACAGGTGTTGCTTCTTTAGAAAAGCTGAATACACAGTAATGCGGACTGGGGCAAGCTGCTAATTACTTCATGTGACCATCCGCGTTAGAAAAGGGTTTCTCTTGGCAGATTCAAAAGAAATCTCTGGGAGCTGGTTGGTGCCTTTCA